TCTCTGTGGCAGATAAAATTCTAAGATGGTCTCTAAGATTCCCTATCCCTTCATGTATAGTTCTGAATAATCTCAGGACCATAAATATCACAGATTTCCTCCCATGATATAGCTTTGGTTATTAAGGCACAGATAACTAAGTAAAAATAATTCATGCAGCAGGCCTGACCTAATCACATGGACTCTTTAAATATAGACCAGAGACTAAGAAGTCAAATTCAAAGTGCCCTTTTTGGCTTGATGGAGGGAGACACACAGCAAGGAATGAGGTGGCTTTTAAGAGCTCATAACAGCCCCCTGGCTGACAGAGTTCAACTGAATTCTACCAACATTAAATGAGCTTGGCACACTGGGATATTTGTTGTGCAGCAACAAAAACTACAAGCCACTGATTCCCTATCTACACAGACTCTTCCAATCTAGCATCTAAACTAGAGCTGCCAGAGATTTTTAAATTACAAACCTCATCATATTACTTATTGTTTATAAGCCTTCAGTGGGAAAGAAAATAAAAAGCAAATTCTCATTTGTGTGCTATGTTCAAAAACTTGTATGAGAAGCTGCCAGTAATACCACACAATAAAATAAAAGGCTATATCTTAAAAAAAAAAAAAAAAAAGAACTAGTCATTCTCCGTCACACTAATAATAACACCTAAACCTTAAGATAACAGAAGCAACCACAAATGACTCTAGCTTCATACCCCAATACTTTTCTTGCTAACACTGGACCATCAGGCCACTGCCATGATTTGACTCTTCCAAGTACCATTCCATTTTATATCTTTGCTTTCCTCTTGTTACCAAGTGGCAGCGACACATACTATAAGACTCAGCTCCAGGACCTCCTCCTACACAAAGTTACTACTCTTCCCCTTGGCACTTTGGTCCCCACATCAATGTAATCAGAACTTTTCCTATGTCTTCAGAATCTCTGTACATCACTTTTTCCTAGCACCTATCACACACAGTAATGTCACTGATGGTTTGTAGGTGCCCCTTCAGATAGGGAAGGGGCATCTCTATATCTCTCTACTAACAGCTAAAAAATAAGTCTGCCCAAGGATCAATTTCCTAATAAAGATTACCAAAATAAACAATGGGGGAGTTAAGATCAATTAGCGGAACTACAACCTAATAAATTTAGGTTATGAAACATGTGCTTTGTTTCTAAAACCACTAAGTAAAAGAACCTTGAAATAAATTTTGAATGAAAACCCAATATATAGTGGGAAATAATACATCGGGGAGAAAAAAACTAATCAATAATTTTTGCAAAAAAAATCTAACCTCCAAAATATCCTTTATCCAGACTGGCAATAAGCAATAAAAATAAGCTATTTTTACCAGTCTCGATAAAGGATATTTTGGTAACAATAATTTGCAAAGTACGTTTTAAATTCAGTGGGAAAAAAAATAAACCATTGAAAAATTAGAAGTAATTCACAAAATAGAAAATATAACTGGTTGATATATTAAAACATTCATATTCATCAATAATTAAAAATTGGTAATGAAAACAAATTATTTTCCACCATTACTAGCATCACTTAAGAAAGGACACATACAGCTGTACACAAAGCTAACAGAACCTTTCTGAAAAATGACTTGGCAATACATAAAAAGGCCTCAAAAACCTCACAACTTTTAATCCAGCAATCTCACTTTTAAGAATTTATTCCAAGGAAATAACAAGAAAACGATTTTGCTGCAAAGATATAATACACTATTGATAAAAGGGAAACTGAACAACAAATAGTAAGGGAATACTTGAATAAACTGTGGTACATACTATCTAGTCATTAAAAGTCAGGTTGTCAAAAAATTTAATGGTTTGAGAAAATGATAATAGTAATATTGATATATAAAAACCTAGATTACCAAAATGTACATAATTCATTTTTTGCACATAATTTTTTAAAAATACAGGTACTATACTACAACAATCTGATAAGTCAGCTAAATAGTGGTCACTTTGGATGGTAAAACTGTTGGTAAAGAATATTCTATGGATTAAATTTATTGTACATACCAGGACATTCTAAAAATAAGAGAGATGGCTCTTAATAATTATACTGGGACAAAAGATATAAACAAGAATGTCTAGTTAACTTTAATTATTTTCATCTTTTAAATTATCTGTATTAGGGGTAGGAAACTATGGCTGTGGAGCCCAATCTAGCTCAAAGCCTATTTCAATAAGATTTTACTGGAGTGTCGCCATGACCATTTTTTAATACACCGGTGGTCATGGCTATCTTTACCATCACAAGGGCAGAGTGATTCAAAAAGCTGAGAAAGAAAGCACAGTCCTTGAATTTATACCTCGCCCTTTAAAGAAAGTTTATTGATTTTGTTCAATATTATCTATAAATGGATAAATATAACTAGCAATAAAAAAAGCTATTTTAAAGAATGCTGTATTTGGAAGAAATGAGATAGACAGATTTTTTTTTTTTTTTTTTGGTAATCATAGGGTCAAAGAGATCAACATAATAATAACTATCTCAAAGAAATCCATGTTAGAATGTTCTAAAACTAGCAGGGGCAACAATGTCACTATAGTGGTCAGGAATACTGTTTTACTAACAGCCTCATAAAAAGTTCCCTAAGAGGGGCTGTGATTGTGGCTCAGTGGCAGAGCACTTGCCTAGCATGTGTGAGGCACCAGGTTCAATTCTCAGTACCACATATAAATAAATAAAAAATAAAGGTATATTGACAACTAATAAATATTTTTTTTAAAAGTTCCTTTAAGAGACTACATAAAATTACTATTATTCTTCAAGTTTCTTGATGCAAAAAACAGGTACATAATGTATACAGTAATATTTCCACAGAATGCCTTATATCAAACAAAACTAAAAGTAATAATTATCACACACACACACACACATACACACACACAAAAAACTGGATCCCCTTATCTAACATTAATTTACATAACAGGTATAATAATTTTAAAATTAACATACTGCCACTGTCAGCTAAACACAATATGCAGCAAAATAAACATTGTTTTTGTTTTAATCTAATGGAAACAATAACATCACAGGCATACCAATGAGTGATTACTTGTTGAATGTGTAAAATTGTAAAATTAAGCTGTTTTTTAGATGAATTACTTTGTGTTAATTTTTAATAGATGTGAAGACTACATAACATTCTCTTACATGACTGGTTAAACTTCTCTTTAAACAGACTTGTTTATCTCCAAGTCCTTATATTCCTTCCCATCCAGGTGTATTTAAAGGCAATTCTGAGGAATCGAAGGCAGAGTCTTGTCTATCTTAAGTACTTTGCCTTAATCACTTAGAAAGTTCTGAAAAATTATTACTCCATAATAGTCGTTTTGAGATGAATTTATTTCTAGGGTAAATTCCAAGAAAATAAGCAGATAGTTTAATACAAATCCTTTTCTTTTTTTTTTTGAAAAAGTATCTAGCACTTAAAAAATGCTTAGGAGGGTGTGGGACAAATACACAGAAATAATGTCATCCCTTTAAAAAGATATAGTAATCACCTCAAATAAAACCCAGTAAGAATAAGTCACTCATGTTTTAACCTCTATAACTAGAACTGTAACTCATTTACACTGGTGCCACTACTGCTGGTGTAAAGCCCATTGCAGACTCCAATCTCAGGAGTCCTCTCATCTGGATTACTTCGTAAACCATGCTAAGTCTCAGTTTCATCATCTCCAACATGAGGGCATTGGAACAGATGATCTCAAAGGACCTATTTAGATCTGTATTTTTGTGATTCTATGGCAATTAATATTTTTCCACTGCAGTACAGTCCTTTAAATCCTCAGCCATTTCAGCCTTAAAAATTCCTATGATCTATACAACTAAGTTGTACTTGAAAAATGTTGCCTAAAATAATACCTATTTGTAACCATCAGTACTGTTCTCTTGCTTCCAGGAATAACACAGTGGTATCGGTAAGTCTCTCCTTCCAACTTTTTGATATGATTCTGAAAAGAAAACAAGAGTTAAGATTTGGGAAGTTTATATATTCAAGTAATATTTGTGTAATAGCTAATTATAATAAGAACATTGGAAAAATTTTATTAGGAACAAAAGCACAGTTCTACATATTGGCACACAAAGCTAGAAAAATACCCATAGTGTGTTTATAAGCTAACTTCCATTGCTGCCCTTAAAGAAAAAATATGTATTAAGTGCTTACCAAGTGATCATCTTGTATTTTATTCTGTGGTGACACAGAAATTTTAAAGTATCTATCAGAAATAATCACACATTTTAGGTAAGAAACATAAACATATGCTAATACAAACTGCTGATTTAGCATTACTGAAGTTCACAGCAAGGACTTTCAGGTGGATCTACAAACTGTGTAGCATAGAATATAAAATTTTTAAAATGTGGTGCTGAAACAATTTTCAGAGGACAGATCATGTGTCCCATCAGAATTTTTTGATGGAGGTCTAAAATCCATCTCCAAAGTTAAGACCCAACCAATGATTTACAGAGAGGTAGATGTTATACCAATGATAAAATTCCAAAAGAACTGATGTTCAATGTTTTTAAATACTTGGCTGTATAGATTAAACATGCATTAAAAAGCAGATTTATATGTAAATCATATTTCTTACAAAAAGAAAATATAATTATGATATTAACATGAACATGGAGAATTTCTAAGATTTCAAAATAGTTGGCATAATTTATTTCTGAAGACAAATATGAGCATGAATAATATAATTCAAATACAAATCATAGCACATTAAAATATTTATTTTCCTTCTCCACTATCTTAAAATTATTGAATTAGTAAATACATCTTAAAAACAATAAATATTTTTATAATATATGCTAATAAAATAATTACTGAATGTCTAGAATTCATGATTAAAGATCAGGTGATAATATATAATACAGAACATAAACACTGAATAAGACCATAATGCTTTACAACCAAGATTGTTCCACGAATATTATTAAAAAGGACAATATAATCAAAATCAACACAAGCAGAGAAAGCACACTTGACATTATTTTAATGCTTAAATATACATTTTTAAAAGAAGTCTGGTCCCCAGTCATTCTTTGACAGTTACAAATAGCCATGAACAGGGAAGAGAAATCCCCACAAAACTGGGGTCTCATCTGTAGGATGCATCTCACAGAAGAGCAGTTTTCACAGCGATGGTCACTTGTTTCAAGCCCTCCTATGGGAATTAGCAAAAAGCTTTTGCTATTTATAAAATGCCTCAATTTCTTCAAAGAGCAAAATGGGGGAAAATATAATAATATAGTGTATTTTTTAGCATGAAAGTTAAATGTTAAAATATTTAGATATGCAAGTACAAGAAAGTCTACCGTCTTTTTATCTTTTATGCATTTCCATTAGTTCTTAGACTACTGTGTTTCAAATTAAGAGTTTTTAAAGTATAATTTATCACCATTAACACACTTTAGAAAAGCATCTTTTTCATACACTAAAAATCCACTACAGTCTGAGATTCAGATTAAGATATTCAGTCACTGATGACAGCAGTGATTGAATATTCACCCCCCTCTTTCCCAAAATGCTACTTGAGTAAATTAACAATACTTTTCAAAAGGCCATTCTCCAGTAATTATTTCTTAAAATTAATTATAAGTAAATAACACAAAACATGAAAAAGCAAATATGTTATCATGTTTATCAGAGCATCATTACTATTAGTAAAATGAACAACTTTAATGTCAGGAATTAAAAACAGTGAAGTATACAGTGTAAGGCTACCTCAGCAGATGGCAATGCAAGGGCTTAGTGGTAGAGTATTTAAGTAATTAATGTACTAAGTATATTAGTACACTAATGACTTATTGGTAGAGTACTTGCCTAGCATGTGTGAGGTGCTGGGTTTGATTCCTCAGCACCACAGAAAAAATAAATTAAATACAAAATTTTAAAAATAGATGGTAATACAAGAACTTTAAATGCTAGTAAAACATTTCTAAGAACATGAAAAAAATAATTTAAAAGAAAAAGCAATGAACACCATTTCAAATCTTGTATGATCATTAACATCTAAACCAAAATAGACATTAAATTTAAAAACTTGCCACATGGTGTGCAATATAAGCATTGTATGTAATATAAACAGTAAGACCTTAGGATAGCAGACAGGCAGAAGAACATATCCTATGACATCATGGCATATGATTTAGAAATCCTAAAAGCTGAGTATTAAAGAACAATGCAGTATTCAGCAGAAAGAATAACTTACTTAGAATATACCTATATTACAATAAGATCTAGGATTTTATTTACTCATTTTATTATACATGGTCCCTTAAGGTCAGAGTCTTTTTTTTCTTCTGTATATCCAGCATAGCTTTAAAAAAAATCAGTAAATACTTTTCCTTACCCAACTAGCCAATCATAGCAAGATGGGTAAGGGTGAAAAAGAACACATATCTCAAGTATCAAATGCCTACACTTGCTACCCATGAAAAAAGCTACTAAATCCTCTTGGCAGTAAACAATGTATTTCTTTCAGTAAATGATAATACAGTGTAAAGGGCTGCGTAATCTTTTTTTTTTTTTTTTTTGACTTGTTAATGGGAATTTAACCCAGAGCTGCTTTACCACTGAGCCATATCCCAAGTCCATTTTATGTTTTATTTTGAGACAGGATCTCACTAAGTTGCTGAGGCTGGCCTAGAACTTGCAATCCTCCTGCCTCAGCCTCCTGAGTTGCTGGGATTACAGGTGTGCACCACAGCGCTCAGTAGGGCTGTTTAATATCTTAGCAAAAAACTAATAAACACTACTATACATATGACTATATGTAGACAATGTGACTATACCTTTAGCTAAAATAACAAAGTTTCTTGAAGTTTTGTGCTTATTGACATATAATTGTAAAAAGGGAAATCACAAGGAAAGGTTTAGTAACATAAAGAGATAAACAGAAAGTAAACAATAAGAAAAAAATCTTAAATTCCCAAAAGTTGTCTCATTTAAATTGCAATACACCAGGAAAATAAAAAATTACTGCATTTATCCAAGAGCCTTGGGAAGGGTAAGTATTGGTGATGATCAAGAAAGCATCTTTAATCATTATTGTGCTTGATTCTCATAGAAAACTGTACATGTCATGACCTGCTTGCCTCACTTCAATTACCTAGGCACAGGAAAAGCCTGTCAGCTACTCTTAATACTTACATGTTTGTTATACTTGGTCTCTTACAGAAGTCTTTCTTTCTTTCTCCACCTCTCTCTCTCTTTTTTTTTTTTTTTTTGTGGTGTGCAGGGGATTGAACCCAGGGCTTTCTGAATGCTAGACAAGCACTCTACTACTGAGCTACATCCTCAGCCCCTTGGGAAGAAGTAATATTTCTTCCATATGTCCAGCACAGGCTGGTCTTTCTTTTTTCTTTAAAGTGTTTGTTTTTATATGTGAAGTATTTAATTATTTAAATAATTGCAGTTATCAAAAAATACATAATCCAATTGATAGTTTCACTATCTTCAAATTTACAACACATTAGAAATCTAAGTTTTACTTTGGTTTCAATTTTGGGGAGAGTGTGAAAGGTGTGAGACAAGATATCTTAAAAAGAAATTCAAATGTAACTTACAGAATTAACTTATGGGAGTAATGATTTTAAAATGATAATTTATAATCATTATTATTTTGTTCTCATTAAGATGAATCTTCCCTAAGGATTTAAAAGCAAAAAAGGTTTGGTTTTTAAAAATAAATACATATTCAAAAACCACATAATTTGCCTAATTACATATTCTACTTCTATTTATAAAAAGTAAACCAAACAATTCTGAAATAAGTATAACTAACAAGGAGATTAATTTTTTTTAAAACTCTAAATACTTAAGGCTGAAAATGTATGTAACATAATTAAAAATTATTGCTATTTATTTAGGAATAGTACTAAGGGATTATAAAAGAAAAAACAGAGGTTGGGTTGGGGATGTGGCTCAATGGTAGAGTGCTCACCTAGCGTGTATGAAGCCCTGGATTTGATCCTTAGCACCACAAGAACCAAGGGGTGGCGGTGGAGAGGTGTGGAGAAATAGAAACACTGAAAGAACATATTCTCAAAATTCATGTGCCAGCTCTCATTTGAGGATGAATTCAGTTCAGTTATTAAAACATGTACCCCACTCATAGTCCCATACTTGAGCAAATTTAGAGTGATTTGTGAAGCTGAGATGGGTGTAATTCCATCATCAGGACTCACAAACATAAAAAAGTTATTTATTAGACTGGACATAACAACTATCCCCTTTTTCAACTTTACATGAAATGCACATGAACATCACCTGAAAAGGTAAGATTTTCAAAATAATAGTATAAATGTCTACTTCTGGACCCAGTAGTCTTTCTCCCATTAATAGAGAACAGAGATTTCCTGTATTCTTTTATTTTTTATGGGGATCTCTTAACCCTGTATAAGTATTACCAGATATAATACCATTTTCATTTGTAGTCATTACTGAAAAAAGTTGAGAGGGAGGTGAAAGCCATAAAGAAAATTTCACTAAAATTGACTCTCAATCAAATTCACACACAATTAATACCACAGTTTGTTTTGAGTTTTAAGGATGAAATCAAGTAGTAGTATAGGAAACATTTACTCCTGTATTTCCAGTTCTTGCTGTGTAGGCAGAAAAAGAAAGAAAAAAAAGTTAGAAACACACAAAAAGTTTAAACATAGTCATATATAATAAAAAGCAAAGGTTAAAAACAATTAAGAGTCATTTTAATATCAAGAGGAACATACTTATTTCTTTTGGGGGAAATCAGTCATGGGAGAATAGCAGTTTATACATGAATATATTACTTTAAATATAATAAAGTTAAAACTAAAACAAAATATAAAAACTTTAATTTTCAAGGTTTAATGAGATTATAAATCATATACACTCTTTTTTCTCTTCCTCCAGTTTAATGTACTTAAATAAACCTAGATGTACAAAGTAGTGCAAATAAATTAATTTGGTGGTGAGAAAAGAAAGAAATGACATTCCAGTATTTACCTATAAAACAGGAAACCAAAACTAACACCATTAACTACATGAGTTTTCACAGAAACAGATATAGCCTATGACATCTTCTGATATTATCTTTCCTGCACACACACACACAAAAGCTTTATTCCTGTGCCAAAAAAAAAGTTACCCATTATTTCCATTTAAAATGTTATGTTAAAATTAAAAACAGTCAAATTCTACTCTACAAATCATTTATAATCCTTCAAAAAAGTTCACGATTCAGGGACTTAAAGACCCATCCATGAAATTCTCACCCTTGAAATCTTTTTTTTTTTTTTTTTAAATTAAGTATCACTCATGGGCTTGGGTCGTGGCTCAGTGGCAGAGAGTTTGCCTCTCACATGTGAGGTACTGGGTTCGATTCTCAGCACCACATGAAAATAAAACAAAATAAAGATATTGTGTCCATGTATAACTAAAAAATATTTTAATAAAAAAAATATCACTCATGACTGTGAAGAATAGAATTTACCTCAAATAAGTCATAGCCCTCAGATTCTTGTCTGTCATATGGACGAATGATACCATCTTCCTGAATCAGGCGTGGGGGACGGAGGCTAGACACTTCCTCAGTTGATTCTGCTGCCCTGAATAAGAAAGCAGAAAAAGGGTAAGAAACTAAGTGAGAATCTTTCAAAATAATACAATTATACATGCTGATTAGACACATAAATATTTTATAAAAATGATCAGTAATTTTAAATAACTTGTCCAAGATAAAACAAAAAAACATTAAATCCATGACTATCTGACTCTAAGGCCCTCACGCTTTTCTTAAGGAAAAGAAAATGTCAAATAGTAAAAGCACAGATTGGATTATTTACTCTTTGAATCCTTGGTACCTGCGAATCAAAAGTATGAGCAAACATCTGTGGAATAAAAGAGAAACTGAGCCATAAAATGTTTTTTCTTATTCCTTTCTGGTAGCACTTTACCTTGTAAAGCTGAAAAGCTTCCAATGAAACATAGAGCTTTAAGAGCAGGCAAAACATCTCATCTATCTATGCAATCCTAGTACCAATTAGAACACAGAAACAGCTCACACACAACATGCTCTCCATACCTCTGAATGCCTTGGAAAGTACTACTGGCCATATCTATGATTCCACCAGTTGGACGAGCCACCGCACCCACAAGCCCTTTTCCAATTCCTTTAAAGAATCCAGCAGCTCCCTCCTTTTTGGCACCTTCAGAAAACCATAAATAATGAATATAAGATATTTTAAAATAAGCAAAAACCTGAGCCAAACTTGAAGTAGGACAGAAAAGCCTGAACACCTAAGGAATTTTCAGGAAGCAGGTTTATTGACTGCAGTCAGTCCAAATTCTCTGATCAGAGATTTTGGCAATTCTTTGAACTATATTTATAGCTAGTGGGAGGAGGGGCTTAGAGGTTTTACATGACAAGTGCTTTACTTCCATCCTCTAGACCAGGAGTTTTGCAAGTTTTTTTTTTTTTCCTGCAAACCTGGCATTTATAAAAAGAGGAAACTACCAACCACGATATCCTCTGCATGCAGAAGTTTTTTCTTTTCTTTTTTGGTACTGGGAATTGAACTGGGGGTGCTCAACCACTGATCTACATATGCAACCCTATTTTGTATTTTATTTAGAGATAGTATCTTACTGAGTTGCTTAGCACCTCACTTTTGCTGAGGCTGGCTTTGAATCTCAATCCTCCTGGAGCCTAAGCCTCCTGAGCTGCTGGGATTACAGATGTGTGCCACCTTGCCTGGCTAGAAGTTTTTTCTGACATCATATGTAAGAAGGTTTCTGAGAAAAGGGGGGGATTTACAAGCCACAAATATGGTGGGGGTTTCTGCTTAATTAATGGTGAGGGTCTCTCGGTAGGGGGGTCTCTGACCTGCTTCAAATCCAGAAAACTTCAAGAATTTGAAATTCTGAACAAGTTAAATTTAAATTTAATGTGATAAAATCGTGGTTCTCTAAGTGTTAAATGCAAATTCACCCCAGACCTCCTAAATCAGAAATTAGAAGGTGTGGGGACAGCAATCTATGTTTTAATAATTACTTCATCAAATCCTTAAGGCATGCTCAAGTTTCAGAACTATTGACCTAAGAGTTTAGTCAGCATTAGTGACTGGAAGGTCTAAGAACTGACAGGAAAACCTTCTCTCTCTCTCTCTCTTTTTGTGACAACCATCAAGATTTTTCAAGCAGTGTACTTTTAAAAATTATAACAACCTTATTGCAAAAGTTTTCACATGAAAGAAAGCCTATGGCCATTAGCAATCTTCCTCCATTCTCCATTTTCCCCTACCCTTCCTCACTTGATCCTACCACCCAGTTTACTTCCTTTCCCTGCTCCCTCCCCAGAGCTAGGAAACCATCTAGAGAAACTTCCTATCTTTATGGATTTTCCTATTCTGGATTTCAAACAAATGGAATCACTGAACATGTAGACTACTATACCTGGGCTCTTTTTACTAAGTATCATGTTTTCAAGCATAGGTGTCTTTCATCTTGTAGCATGTGTTCAAGCATAGGTGTCTTTCATCTTGTAGCATGTGTTAGTACCTGATTTCTTTTTATAATTAAACCCTATTCCATTGTATAGATATGCCATGTCTTAATTTATTCATTCATCAGGGGAGAGACATTTAGGATTTTTCTACATTTTGTCTACAGTGAATAATGCTATGAATATTCACATACAAGCTTTTGTTTGGACACCTTTTTCAGTTCTTTTGGATATATATCTTTGAGAAGAATGACTGAGTCATATGGTAACTCCAGGTTTAACCTTTCGAGGCAAAGCCAGATTATTTTTCTCCAACATGGCTGTACTTATTTATATTCCCACCAGCGGGGCATGAGGATCATATCTCTCCACATTCTCTTTAACACCTGACTTTAGTAGTAGGTGTAATGTAGTATCTCACTGTGGTTTGATTTACATTTCCATGTGACCAATGAAATATGTTTACTAGCCATCTGTATATCTTCTTTGGAGAAATGCCTATTCATGTCCTTTGCCTATTGAGTTATAAGAGTTCTTCACATACTCAAGATACAAGTCTCTTATAATTTGCAAAAAATTTTCTCCCATCCTGCAGCTCTTTTCCTTTTCTTGTTGGTGCCCTTTGAGAAACAAATATGTTAAAATTTGATAATGTCCAGTTGACACACATCTAGAAAGGCTTTACCTAACCCAAAGTAATAAAGATTTATTTCTATATTTTCTTTTGAGTTTTATACTTCTGCTCTTATATTTATGCATTTAATCTATTCTGAGTTATATAGTTTCTCTCTTACATTTATGAATTTAATCATAAATATACAGTGTAGGTAAGGGTTCAATTTCATTTATCATGTGGATATAAGATGTCTCAGCACCATCTGTTAAAATGATCATTCTATTCTATAGAATGGACACAACCTAGTGTTCAAGGAATAGGCTTATAGTCCTAAAAGGAATGGGAACCCCTGTCAAAGATCAATTAACCATAATTGTAAGGATTTATTTCTGGACTCTCAATTGTATCCCATTGATCTATTTGTCTATACTAATATCAGTATCAAGCTTAGTTTACTGCAGCTTTATACTATAGTAAGTTTTAAAGTTGGAAAGTGTAAGTCCTTCAATTTTGCTCTTTTTTTTTTTTGAGATTGCTTCCGCTAATTTAAGACTCTCCAATTTATACATAAATTTTAGATTCATCTTGTCAATTGCTGCACAGAAGTCACATGGGCTTTTGATAGGAATTACAACAGAGAGCACATTATTTTTTTTAATGGGAATAAAAACAAATAAAAAAAACAAGCCAATTGCTCCTAAGGGCCCCAAAGAATCTAGACTGTCGATGGAACTGTTGAAACCTGCACTCAAAGTCTAAATCACAGACACTACTTAATCTTTCTGCTTTCTGAAGAAAATATATTACAGTTGAAGACTATGTATATAAAATATAGTCCGTACTCTCTCTATTAAACATCTAGTAGTAACAACAACTGCTAGTCAAGCATCAGCTCTTCCAGCTCTGCACAGGAAGGAGCCCTTCTCAACCTACCTTCCACAGGCTTTGTTATTATTCCTGTCACTCCACCAACAACTCCCTGGGGAAAAAAAAAAAAAAATCAGTCACAGCCTTGACTGAAGGGAAGGTGCTTCATTTTAAACCAACACTAGGGGTCTCTACACACATACTAGAAACGATTGCTTTTTAAAAAACAGGACTTGATAATGTGAACAACATGCACATATAAGTGAGCACTGTGATTTTATAAATATTAAATCACAGAAAATTTTAAATTAGAACACCTTACAGAAGTAAAATCTTATAATAGAAAGAGCAGTAAATAAAAATATTCTAACTCCGGTTCTGGTATATTCAGCTATATAATCCAGGCAGTTGATTCATTATCTGTAAGCCTCAATTTCTACGTCAGTAAAAATGAGTAGAGTGAAATATCTCTAAGATCTAATTACAAATTTTAATGAGATTACTTTGCAAATTAGTGAAAGTGTAGAAAACTGAAAATAAAGGAAACTCCCAAGGTAGCAAGTAATTCTGACAAAGTACTTTAGAGTATATAACAGACATTAAAAGTCACTGGCTCAAACACAGCAGTTGCAGTTTCCTAAAATTATTTCCAAACTTAAAATATTAAAGTACTTACATGTTCTTAATAATTTCAAGTAATGGTACTAACTAAAATTACTTTTATATTCTGTAAACACATAGAAAGAGAACTGAACACACATTAAACTGAAAAGATTACATACCTCTAGAAAGCGGTGAGGGGTGATAAAGAATACTCTAGCTTTATCTATGTTGTTTTAATACTTTTTATTAAAAATAGAACTTAAATGTTCTTGTAATGATTTGTAAGGAAAGAATTCACTCAGTACCTATATAATTAAGCAGTAGTCACATGATATCTACATAAGTTTAGAAGTTTTAAAAAGCAATGAAAGGCAGTTCCTGGTTTATCACTTAAGTTTCATACATTCCTTGCACAAAAATGGATGACTAGAGGACTAAATCTGCCTCTCAAGAGCCCTTACTCCCTCTAATATCACCACTACCATATTCCCCTGCTGCTCACTTCCTCCCCTTCCACACTAGGGCTAAGGTGCCATCAATTAGAGATATCCCAGTCCAAATGGAAAACTATGTTGGGGATTTGGGAATAGCACTGGTGGAGCCAGGGAGGAAGGAGAGCAAAAAGAAAACCACAGCTCCCAAAGTTATCACTATTGCTACTCTGACAGACCTAGACTCATAAGTGGCATTCTAAGTTTCAAATGATAGCTAGAGTGCATATTTTAAAGTATACATATATAAAAGTCAAGGGTTTTTGAAGAGTCAGCTGGAGACTTACTCGCAGAAAGCCCTTCCCTCCTCTGGCCAGGCTGTCTCCAAAATCTTTAGGCTGTCGACCCATCTCTTCTCTTCTTTTTTGCTGATATTCCTTGTCCATTGTAATTGCTGCCAAACCTTTCCCAACAGAACCTGTGATTCGAGATACAACTCCTGCTGCACCACCTACAAAAAGGCCCAGGAGAGTGAGTCACATTGTTTCTTTAGAAAACCATCATCACAGTACACAATATACAACTGTTTTAAACTAATAGGTGCTTAAAATCCTCATATGCAAAAATGTAGAAATTATTTTTTGCCATTTATCAAGAAGAGGAATAAACTTATTTAAATAAAGTACAGTGATTCAACACCATCAAGTTATACTAGAAAATCAGCAGGCTACTTTTATTTTCCATTTAAAAATAAGGAAATATACACACACACAGGTGATACATACCTACTGTGTGTCCAAAGAGACTTCTTACTCCAATCACTAATCCTTCAGCAAATTCTTCAGGGCCTTGAACAGCACCCTGGCTCAAAGAAAAGTTTACTACTTAAAATTTAAATTAGTTTAAGACTTTCAATCTAATATTTCAGGGTTTCTGTGAAGACACAGAATGTGTTATGATCCATAAAGACTGGGATGCAACAATTTTTATCCTATATCCCGAATAATGACACCACACCCACTGTGATAGAAAATATTTTAAACACACATGACCTCAGAGGATTCCATAAGATGACAAATTTAACAGGTGTGAATCATAGGCTTTAATTATAATCTGAAGTTGGCCTTCCAGTATAAAGTTCCTTTAGAATGCTCAAACTGACTACACTAGCAATAGACTGAGTCCACATATTTTGGACTCTTTGTTCTTTCATTTATTCTTTCTGTGTTGTCCTATTAAAACCCTCACTATACTAGGCTCCTGAACAAGTCTGTTGAAAGCTTGAATATGAAGCAAAGTCAGTTTTAATGCCCCATTAATTCTTTTGTGGAAGACATGGGCACATTTATTGCCCAGAAGAGCACTAGACATGCTCATTTAGTTTTAAAATAACCTTTCAATATCATTTCAAGTACTTTTAAATAAAAAATGTAAAATTGATTTTTAAGTATTTAAACATTATTCAGTTCCTAGATACAATTAAAATATGAATTATTATTTGTCAATAAAAATAGAATATCCATTTTTCTATATGTATACTGAAATTAAAAAAAAATAATACCTGGAAGGGTTCATAGAACAATGCTTCCACTCCTTCAGACAGACCTCTAATTAATCCAAATGGGTTTCCAAGCACATCTAAGCCCAATACAAGGACATACATCTGTTTTAAAAACTAAAGAAGAAAAAAAACCCAGTAAATTATTTACTACTGTTGACAGAAACAACATCAAGCCACACTTAATAGGAAAAAAGTGGGATGCTGACTAAATTAGGTTTGTGTTTTCAGGCAAGCTGGTAGAACAACAACTACATACATTACCAGATCTTCAATATTGTAAGTACAAGGCACTGTGTTACACTTTACATGGAGCTCTCAAATTAGACAGAACTAAGTTTAAGGCACAGTCTGTTAATAAGCAGTTATGTGACCTTGGACAAGTCACTTAGTCTCTATCAGCCTCAGCCTTTTCATCTATTAACACAGGAGGTTATACTCATGTTGCATGGTGAGAATATATTAAATGAACATGTAATTCAGTAATTGTTAGTTGTTTTTTATTGTATTATCATCACTTTTACTAATGAACTACATGAAGAATAATTATTAACTGAAAAAATGGACAATATAACTTATTTGAACATATAATAATAATAACGTCTATATTACTATAGGTGAAAAGATCTTCCAGCAGAAGATGGAAAAAGAAATATCACCATGCAGCTCCATGGCACAGCAATGGTACCTGAGTGGCCTGAAACAACTACTTTTTGTATACACACCCAAACCATGAAGTGACTGATGCAAAGGAAGGAAACTGGCTTAGAATTCCTCCTACAACTCCACTAGACTACATTTAGAAACTGCTGTCACCGAAGAACTTAAGTTAATGATTCCAAAGTCACTATTATTTCCCAAAGTTGAAAAGGTATTACTGCAAAGGGAAAATAGCATGGGAATAAATTTTAAAAGGAATATAAAGAGTGGTAGAAGAAAGAAAAATTAATCATTTAAGAAATCACTAAGTATTGAGATTACAAATTGAGGTAAATATGTAAACATTACCACACACTATACAATTACATGCAAATATTTTGCTTAAATATTTTATGAAGTATATTCCTTATGAGCTACTATGATGGGAAATTACCTGCTCACTGTAATGCCGAACAACACTCCACATGAGCTGATCTCGCTTGTAAAACTGGTATCGAATTTCATAATAAGCAAGTCTGGGAGGAGAAAAAGGAAAGATTTAATGATATTAAGATTATTTTCTGGACAAATGTATGATATATGATATGTCAAGATCAATGTAATGTTTTGAGCAACCAATACATTTCTGATGTTTAAAACTAAAAAAAAGAGATTATTTTCTGAAAAAAAAGGACTTGAAATTTCAGCAATAGCTGAAATAACTAGTCATAGTTATTTCTTTCACAATTAACTTTGTATATCTGCCACATACAATTTATGGTTGATGTCTTATCATTATGGTAACAAAATTATTATAAATATAGTATAGTCTCATAAATTTTTCATAAACAAAAAGAGTAATAGTTTTAAAAAGTCAACAATCATCCACCCATACCATAATTTTTAAATTTGTTCTCATTTCCCACTTTGAATTCTTTCTTTTCTGTGCAACTATAAAATATCTAAAACATTTTGTATGCCACTTTTATTCTAAACATTGTGCAAACATATTTCTCTATATCTTTATTCAAAACTCCTATGTCATCATTTTGAGCAGATGCCTAGCATTCCGTTTTGTGGTGGTGCCATAAAGAACAATGGTCAGACATGCCCAATTTCTGGTTTAAAAAAAAAAAATTAATGTTACCATGTGTATATTTTATGTAACTCTCTGGTTGCATTTTAAAGTTTCTTAAACTGAATTCCCCCATAAAACAATTACTAAGGGAAAGATAACAATAACATATGTGTGATATATATACATGTATATATTTATGATGTAAATATAATATGATATCTCAACACACACACTCACATCCTTCCATTCATACCAAAAGAATAAAAAAGTGCACATTTCTTAGATCCAACTCGCTCTAGTACTAGGATTACTCATATTTTGAAATCTTTGACAAATTATATATATTGTAAAAATAAAGTCAGACAACTCCAATACCTGTCAATCATGATCTGTTTTGTAAATTATCTCTTATTTTCCTATGGCTATTATCTTTAGATTTTTTCATCAATGCTCAATATTAAGATGATTTATCACCTCTGTCATAATTATCAGTATTTTCCAGTTTTTTCCTTAATTGTTTTCACCAATTTTGCTATAAAGTGGTCTCTCCCTCTCTCACTTTGCAGTGATGGGTGTCAAATGCAGGACCTTGCACAACCTAGGCTAGAGCTTTACCATTGAGTTATATCTCCATAATTTTTATGTAGTCAAAATATCTTGTATTTTTTTTCTCAGTGCTTTTAATCTTGAAAGGACTTCTCAAAATTTGATAATAATTAACTTCTCTTAAGTCTCTTCACTTTGAATTTTGTATTTTATCCTTCATTTCCTCTAAAATTTAGTGCACATGTGAGATGAGAAATGGACTTTTTTGTATTCCCAAGTAACTATTTGTTCTAATACCTTAGTTAAATATTGAATTCAAATAATGATTGAATGTACATTTGTCTGTCACACATAAACATTCTCACATTAAATGTAGCAAGGAGTTCTTATTTCCAACTTTGCTAAATGGTTATACTGAAATCTTACCCAACTGCTACATATTTCTTAAAATAACTATTTTAAAATACAGTTCCTTTACAATATTCTATACTAAAATAATTCCATTTTTATTCTACATTCATGCATTATCTAGATATGAGTATCCAAAAAAATTCACCCTTAATTGTAACAAATAAAATAAGCATACCTAAAGTATATAAAGAAATGAACCAAACTTTTCAAGTATGAGTAGTAAGAGACATCTATTTTCTAGTCTAATGTGGTACAAATGGAGAGGATATCCAGGAACATAACTTTGGCACAAATGGTACAAATGCTTTCCAATGAACTTTAACAAGTCTTACTTGAATATAAGGTCATCCACATCAGTTAGAGTAGCACCTATGCTTTTCAACAGCAGGTTAACAGAATGAATTGCAATCATTTCCTGTTTTTCTTTGTCTGATTCTTCACCTCCAGAACCCAGAGACAGACTCAAATGCAACTGAAAGAAAAATCAGGTTCAATAAATGAAACATAAAAACAAAAAAATTAAATACTTAGGTACCAGATTGTCGGATGCAACCAAATGTATCCTTCAAAATTAATTTGATTCCCAATCTATTCCTGTGAACATTACACAGAATATACTTTTGATTCTCATTTTTTTTTGATAAAAAAATTACAGTCTAACTCAAAAAGAAAGCTCTATTTGAAGTATAAATACCATTTTCATATGGAGGAGAGCTTTCACAAAAATGGCATAATCATCTTAAGAAAAAAAAACATGTCGCAAGTAGTCTGCCATCAGAACAATGGATATTACTTATTTTCAATTAAAGTAAATCATTTATGGAAAAATTAAGATAATAACTGATATAACTATGTCACAACAATAACATGACAAATATGGTAATAGTTAGCAAGTTGCCATAAGTTTTTAAAAGAGTAATAAGGTTTTCAGCTTCCATAGACACTCCCACTGATTACTTAAATGTGGGATTTTCCCATTTCCATCTGGCTTACATTTTTTGCTGTATCAACACTGGTGTATAGTGCAAGAACAGATATATAAAAGATAATTCAACATGACAAATAAAGTTGATCACTCTCCTTTCTCATTCTGCATTTTACCTAAATGATGTAGAGCTCGAGTAGAATGGACATAGGGTGAGGCCAGGAAAACCTGGTTTGTTTTTTCTTTAATGTGGATTACCCATGTGTAAAGTCAGGGAGTGTTGAGGTCCAGGAAGATAAGCTCAGGTGGAAAGAGCTCCTACCTTTCCCTAAGGCAAAATCACCAAGTACTAAGAAAATAACTGTGGCTCATTATTCAACTTCATGGCACAATTCCCAGTGTGCCTAAAAACATGAATAAGTAAATCACCTTTAATACTCCCCAAGATTATAAATTCCATGAAGTTATTTTGTACCTCCATGGCAATTTTATAACAGGCATTCAGTAAATTTTTGTTGAAGGTATTGTTTAACCCCATAAATAACTGATTTTCATTTACTCGTAAGAAATTGTATATAATATATCATATAAAACAATATAAATCTTACACTTGATACTGTTGCTATGTCTGATACCATCAAACTAATATATAAATTTAAAATAATTCTATTTTATAAATCCATTCATTTAGCTGAATAGATTGAAAATGAAAATGAAACTGCTATCAACAGTTTTTGAGAATGTAAAGGATCATCGATATTTTAAAGAGTTACTTAATTGTAAATCTGGCCCATTACACAAGTTCAGAGCATTATGGTTGATAGCATTTGTATATTTGCTAGCTGTAGTCTTCCCCTGTAAAAGTAAAAACAACAAAAAGGGAAAAGGAAATGGGTTCATAAAGCACAAAATCAGGCAAGTGAAAGGTATCCAATTTTCCACTTCCTTAGTTACAAACAAATTCTGGAAATGAGAAGAACACCCCATGAACAGTATACTACCGACTTCAGCGTTTTCACATTCTGGTCAAGAGCACTCATAGCTTACTGTTTAGACAGTGCTAGTAGTTACAAAGTGCAACCAAAACATTAAATCTTGGTGAGCACTGCTATGCTTAATTAAGAAGTGCCTTTGTCAGCTTCTTCCTTGAATAAAGAGGTGATTAATTCAAGACTAGAGAACATGATCTGATGGTTTATCTGTGAGAATTATGACTGACATACATTACAGAGAATTGTCTTAATTATTATGATTAATCAAACAAAGTTCCTGGCAAATAATGTGATGAAACAAATAAGAAGCTACATTTAAACACAGACCCTTTAAAAGTTCTAAAACAATTTCACTAAATTTTCAAGATAATTATTATAACAAACCTTAACAGGAGATATATGGAAATGTTCAAAGAAACTAAGAATTGACATATCAGTCATTGATGTCTCCATTAATTCTGTGTTTAGAGCATCGATATCTTGTTGGATTAATTTTGTCTGAAAAAAATTAAATAGAAAAATGTAAATTTTTTTATCTACTATAATTTGCTCAGAAACTTTTTATCTATTATAATTTGATTTAAATTTTTTAACTTTGTATTTTTCCCAAGGAATAAAAATCGTTACCCGTTTTCTTTCAGCTTCTGGATCAGTTGTTGGAGTGAACAGTGCAATAATAGCTCCAAGAAATCCTTGATCAACTTTTAAGGCCATTTCTTGAATAAGGACCATAAAATACCTATGGAAAAAAAAATTAAGATGGAAAAGGGTTTCAATCAATCCTGGTGATTTTCAATGTTAAAACTATGATTTTATCAAAGTCCACAGTAAGATCTTATTTCTTTGTCTCTTAAAAATCATGTTAATAAGATTGAAGTCTACTTAGACTGATACTTTCAGTACACTAAAAACTTCACTGAGGTAGTAGAGAGGTACTGAGTAATACTGAGGTAATATATGGTATTAATAGCACTCAGAAGTCCCAAGCACTCAAATGTATCGTGTCACAGTAAACATAATTATAATTAGAAGATGTAGCAAGAATCACCCAATTTTTAAAGTGTATAGCAAGTGCTTGAAAGAAGACAGCTCACAAATACATACTTCATTTCTTTTTCACTATTTTATATTCTAAAACAGTGAAGGTGGTTGAAGGAATTCTACATTTTAAAACATGCACTATTATATAAATACTCATAAAAAATTACTCAACCAAAAGTACATTAATAGGTTCAGTTGGAAAATAATTTTTATACAGAAGTCATTTTCAAAAAGAGTAATATTTAGTTTCAAAACAGAGTGTTTTAAATTCCTTTAGATAAACAGCAGAAATCTTTCTTACTTGAATTGTAAGACTTTGCTGTACTCATTAAATCGTGTGATGATACTCACATCAATGAAAGGTTTGGGCTCTAAAAGAAAAAAAAAAGAATAAAGGTGAAATTATCAAAGCTTAATACTAGGTCAAACTAAGGTCTAACTTCTATGAATAAGGTATACCTGTATTTCTTTTGTTTTTTACCTGAGTCCAAAGCAATAGATTTTGGAGGGGCCACAGGATGAAATACAACAGGGAACATTGTACCTGGTAACTGATTATCAACCTGAAAGAAAAGGAAATCAACGGAGCAAAATTTTAAATTATTTAGACATAAACTTTCAGTTTCACAGGTATTATGAAAAACATTAATTTAATCTTAACTATCAGCACATACATATGGTACCAATAAAATTTTTACTTTAAATCTTTAAAACTTTTTATACACTTCAGAAAGGATAAGCCATTATATAAAATAACAGCTGTATAATTGTATTAAGAATTGTACATCATTAATGCAAATATCTGTACCTGCATCACACAGGATTTCAAAGTTCTACAGTTTAAATAAAATACAAGAACAGACTGAACATGAAAACAGAGGATAAGCAGAAATAAGAAAAAGAATAAAAATGTCCTAAATAATACTTAATGGTTAAAAGGAAGTACAGAAGGGAGGCTGTGAGACAGTAAGCAAGCAAGTCCCCCAAAATAACTTCCAATAAAGCCCTGCTCTTTGCTAGGAAGAATGGGTGAACAAAATCTTATATGGAATCCCTTAAAATATTTCAAGAAAAATTTTAAAATCACATAATCTCAGTCTAAGAAAATACTCTTGGCAGGTTAAATGGTCAACTCAGTCTCACAATGGTTACACGGTCTCTAGACTTGGACTGTGGGTGAGATGCTGAATCCATGGAATATAAAAACAAAAAGAAAAGATACAACTTATGGGTTGTATGTATGTATGTATGTATGTATTTATTTATGTGCGGAGGACCTCACACATGCTAAACATGCACTTCACCACTAAGCTACACTCCCAGGCACCCAAAAATTGCCTATTTCAATGTAGATTATAACAATATAAAAAAGAAATTTCATTTCCAAGATTCCCAAAGTGATTAGAACATCCATTTAATTGAGGATGACAATCTTACCTGAAGCCAGTACAACCTGGCCCTTAAACTTCTCTGGTGAGGAGACTGCTTAAATTCAACTTGAATTCCTGATAAAAAGTCTCGTTTAATAGGGCACTGAACAGGGAGACGCATTTCCATTGGAACTTTACCAAAATTAACCTGGGGAGAAAAAAGCATATTTTTTTCTCAGATTAGTTACCCTATTTTAAATATCTGTTTCCTCATCAGGCAGAAAGAAAAGGTTATTTTTATCTCAACAAAAGAGATAACTATATTAAGGTGATCTATTAAGATTTCTGAAGTAGAAGCCATCACTTTTCTAGCAAATTACTAGAAAAAGAAGAATTCTATAAGTTTTCAATTATAGATGTAATACTTAAAAATTATTTATATAAAAAATTTAACAGTAAAGGAAAATCCCAGCTAATTCTAAACAACCTTTGTTACACAGCAAATAATTAATGGCTTATTTATCCTTGACACTAGTAGTATAGTTTATTTTTCACTGAAGCATAGCCAATACTAATTGGGGCATTCACAGAGAATGTAACAAACTCAATCTTCAGATATTAAAGACAAAGAGAAGCCAAAGTATATGACTAAACCAGATTGAGCTAAAAACCACTGTCAAGCTTCTGGAGTCTTCTTGGAGTAAAGATGACATTTTATTTCAGCTTTGTAAGGTCTCCTGGAGAGCACACCTTTATTTGTGGATATCTACCCACATCCAACAATCATTCAGTGAAACAATTTAATTGAGCAGGATTCATTATTTTTCACCAATGAAATACATAAAGCAGTCTTTATTTAACAATATACAGGTATCATTTGAAATATAAGAGAAAAAAATTTCAATAAGCAATCATGATTTCCCCACAGTATTACTAAAAACAAGTTCCATGAAAATGATTTGTAAATAGAACAAATTGCAAAAACAAAGACTTAAAGCCTGCTTAATAGTATGAGTTAATAACATTTTAATTCAAAATACACTAGCAATCCTACTACTAAATAAAAGTTTATTTACTAATATGTAAATTAATTTCTGCACACAGTGAGCATTAAAATTTTCTTTACTCCCCACAACAAAATAAACAAAGAAAAACTATAAAACTATGAACTACAAACATATAAGGCTTAAAACAAAAATATTTTGGCATACCTCAAAATTACTGTCTAGCTTAATCCAGCCACGGTCTCGTGATACTTGATATTTCTGATATGACTGTTCCAGTAAGATTATCTGCTTTTGACTAAAAGGCTTCCATTTCTGCTTTGGTTTCAGCTCCCAAACAACACCAGAACTAAGATAATTCACACACAAAAAAATTAAATTAGAAATACATATATTTAAGTTTGTGGAACTACTATTCAACTCCAGATTAATGTGACTACTAGTTAACCATGGAAATTGTATTCATACAAGAGATTTTTTAAATACCAAACTATAACTGTGTAAAGATACATAAGGAATAGGGTCAGGAGAAAATATTTTTCAATCACACACTGATATCAATCAATTCAAGTATTGGCAAACTTTTTCTTCAAAGGGCAATGATGTTTTTGGGTATTGTGGGCTGACACAAAATCAAGATTATAATGTATGTAGTTAAGTATCAAGAAAAAAAAACTTCCATAAATTTTCTGAGGAAATTTAAAATATAAAATAACAATTGAGTATAATTTTTTTAAAACAAAGGTCTATCAGATAAAAATATTATTCTATTAAGGTTTCTTAATATTAAAATCTACAAATATTCATCTATTAATGCTGATGTTGTAATGAATATCTACAATGTCTTTTCACACAGATATTGCTGAATACTGATATTAATATTTTATTTTTTAATTACTTTATTACTTGAAAGGCATTTATAAAATTCTACCTATTTCTTTCTCTTGATATTTGCTTTTTTAGCCTATTAATACCTTACAGGTCAATCATTTCCAGTGGAAGATTAAAGATTCTCAATTGCAAAAATTGATTCTGAAGTGTAGACATTTCTTTTGAATTTATATTAAAATCAGAAAAAAAATGTTGCTGGAACTGAAGGTGCAGGTCATAATTGAATCAGACATGATTCAATTAATTCCTTGTTGGTTAAAAACTTCATGGGACTGATGATGATTAAGTTCAGGGGACTTCATGAAGTTCACTATTGGACACTACGGGTTTGACAATACATGGCAGATTCAAATATTTTCCATAAAAATCTGCTGACCAATAATATAATACAAAACATACACTTGAAGTGCTTCACACTTTGAAACCTTTGTCCAAGTCCTTTTCTGCTCCACACATCTTTTCCCCATAATAAGTTTTATCTCAGAAGATTTTACCTAAGTTGTACTGAATTAGTATTTCTTCAACCTGTTTGAAAACATTCTTGCATATAAATATTCTATGTGAACTACTGATAAAGAATAAATCTTTGTCACTTCAAACTCAGCACTGACTTCTCAAATATACAGCAACTGAGCAGTACTAGGAACATCTGTTGACTCATCAGGAGCCATGGAAAAACACTCAGTATCATTTGCCCTGCCTTTTAATTGACTATTGATGTTGCTCTGAATGTCCTCAATTCTTTATGCAACTGTTCTCATGGAAAGGCTAATGGCCTTAGACAAGTTTATTTTCTGTGGACACATTTCTTTAGCTGCCGCAATCAGACATGATTTAATTAACTCCCTATTGGTTAAAAAAAGCTTTCTGTGCTTGATCAACACAAATGAGTCATTCAGAAACTTACTTTGATTATAGCCTCATTTCTGTTGTTTTATTTTTGTGAAGAAATTCTGCTGCTATGAGATATTCTGTCATAAATTTTCTAATTTTTCTGGCCCTGGTTTTCCTGTGATTTTGAAATGCTGTCATGTGTGCCTAGTATGAAAATGTCAATATATTTGGTATTACTTTAGCACAGGTATAATATCATTAATTTAAAAAAAGCTTTTGATTAAGAAGATAATCCATATTCCACTATAATGTAGAAGAGTGACATTCAAAGTCCACTATTCTTATTTTCACATGATGGATGCCCATTGAGCATCTTCACATGCAGTAAAAGCAATGTGTACATCACTCACTCTGATCAGTAGTATACTGTGCAGCATGGCTATGTTCCAGTAAAATTTTACTTATGAGCAAAAAAATCTTAAGTTCATATAATTTTCATGTATTACAAAATATTTTTCTTTTGGTTAAAAAAAATCTCCTTTACATTGAAGGCTATATAAAAACATGCAGTGAACTAAATTTGGCTTACTGATCATACTTTGCTGACACGTGCATTAGAGAATACCGTTAGCAATATGGCAAAATATGAATTGGTAAATTTTAATTTACATTGTTGATATTAGTCGACAGAATGTAAACAATGTCTTCATTATATAATATGTTTAGGGCATGAAGTCAGTGAAGGTACTGAGTAAATATAAATTTGTTGTAGTTGTTGATATAAATCCAAGAACTACACATAATAAAAACTCTGAGAAAACTAGGAATGGGGGGGAACTTCCTCAACTTAATAAAGGGCATTATTAAGATCAGGAATAAGGCAAGGACATTCATTCTCACCCTCCTATTTAACATTGTACCAGAAGTCCTAGATAGTGTAGCTGGACAATAAAATAAAATAAAAGGTCCAAATAATCTGAAGGTACAAATAATCTGAAGGGAAAATAATGCTACCTTTGTTCACAGATGACATCACTGTCAACACAGAAAATTTCAAAGAACTAACAAAAACATTCCTGTAATTAATAAGAAATTATAACAAGGTTGACAAGAAACAAGATTAATATTATTCAAGTCAAATGCTTTGATATGTTTGCAAAAAAAAACTGGAATTTCAAATTAAAAATAATATGATTTACCCTAGCACCAAAGAACTGAAATACTTAGGTACAAACAAAATATGTACATGATCTATATGAGGAAAACTACAAAAGACTGGTGAACAAAGTTGATGATCTAAGTAAACAGAGAAATAAACATGGATATAACAACTCAAGATTGTTAAGATGTCAGTTCTCCCAAATTAATCTACACATTCAGTCCAATCCCAATCAAAAAAGTATTTTGTGGATATCAACAAACTGATTCTAAAATTTATATGGAAAGGCAAAGAGACTTAAAAGATAAAATACTGAAAAAGAGAACAAAGTTGGAAGAATGATACCCTACTTTAAGAACTTTAATTTACTGGCCAAAAAATAGATGAACAGATCAATGGAAGGGAATAGAAAGCCCAGAAATAGACCCAAACAAATACAGTCAACTATTTTTTTTTAAAGAAATAAAGGTAACTGTGGAGAGAGAATAGTTTTTCCAACAAATATGTTAATGACTGATCATCCATATGCAACAAAAATGAATCTAAACATAAAGCTTTATTTTTCAAAAAATAAAAACTCAAATTGGAATGAAGAATTAATTGTAAAACGTAAAATTAGAAAACTCCTACAGGACAAAAGGTGAAAAATCTAAGTGACCATGGGTATAGCAATGACTTTTTATACACAGCAAAAGCACAAACCATGAAAGAGAAAAATGATAAATGGACTCCATAAAATTTTAAATTTTTGCTCTTTGAAAGATACTGTTAAGAAAATGACAAGAAGCCACAGACTAGGAGAAAATATTTGAAAAATAGATATCTGACCAAAGTCTGGCATAACAAATATCCAAAGAATTCTTAAAAATCAACAAAAAGATAGGAAACAACTGGTTAAAAATGGGCAGAAAAGATCCAGAGAGCTGAGGAAAAATATATTGAGTTGGCGAATAAGCCTACAAAGGATGGTCAACAACAGGGAACTGCAATTTAAAACAAAAAGGAGATTCCATACATATGATTCGAATAGCTAAAGTCAGTAGTTTCCAGAAGTTCAGGAAGGAGAAAGCCAGAGATGACAGGCTGAAAATAGGAGAGGTTAAGGCACTATATGACACTATAATGGAGAATATGTTTCCATACATTTGTCACAAACAATTCAAAAAGCAAACCCTAAAGGAGACTATAGACTTTAGATAATAAAAATATATCAATATTAGCTGTAACAAATGTGCCACACTCTTGCAAGACCTTAATAATAGAGAAAACTTGGGAGTGTGCAATATAGAGGATCTCCATATTTACACACTATTTTTCTCTAGTTCTAAAACTGCAAACAAATAAAACCTATTTTAAAAATTATGCAACTTAGTATTCCTTTGAAACTTAGATGTTACTGAATTTGTATGATGATTTTAAAAATCAATCAAGTTATTAAGATGAATTTCACAAATGTCCTTTAACAGGTCAACCTAACAAAATATCATAGTGTCTATAATACTAAAGTTTAAAGAAGTGATATCAAAGAAATAAAGAGAAGGTAAAATTGGATATATAAGACTAAAAAATTATTTTCATATTTAGTTTAAAAATTCTCTGTAATATTGAAATGTAAGGACTTAATGGCATATGTGATACCATGTATAGTGCCCATAGGTGTTTTGCAAAGTATGTTACATGCATTATCTGTGTTCTTATCTAATTTTACTTTCCCACTTAGGGTTAGGATTAGGAAAGTAAAATTCTCAACCTATGCTGGTTATATTTGGTATCATAACTATTTCATTTAATATCCCCAAGAAAGAATGAGTCTTTTATCAAACTCAGTGTGATTAAATAATAATAATAATAATGTTTTTCTTAAGTAGGTATAAACAGAACCAGAAAAAATAACTGTTCCATAAGTATTAAAAGTTCTCAAATGAAAGATTACTCATATCAAATCCAATTTCCTTTATGAACCTCTTTTCTAATTTATTTCTGATGGCTTTTCCCGACCCATGCCATTTTCTAGAACCTCTAACTGACAAAATGAGTAAGTTAGTTCTACCTGTTTACATTGCAAATATATATAATTCTTTGTAGCATTTCTCAGTGTTTTTATAGTTTATTTAAGAAAAACCACTCAATAAGGAAAGAAGAAACTACTTTCTTCCCCACCAAATGACAATGGATATTGTGACGGTAAAAACAATATCTTACTCATCTTTCTATCTTTTGGGATTTTCAGCCAGCTGTTTAATTATTTGGTAAGTTTTACTGCATGAATGTACAGCATAACAAATTCAGAAAGAGAATGTTTACTCTTATCAAATTGAATATTATAAACTCAGTGCCTTTTAAAGATTTCTGATGTTTTATCTTTCTTCTTGTATACCTGGTTATTCCAATGTATGAAACTTCCTGCTTATTTTCATTGTTCACCAATGAGAGCCCAAGACTGTGGAGAGACAAGGTTATTTCATGATCAGCCTGTTCCATTTCTTCTGCCTGCAGTGCTTTGGAAACCAAGGCAACATCATCGGTGAAAAGCAAAACTCTCTGGCGTCCATCTAGGAATGATACCCAATGTATCTGGATGTTTGCATCGTATGGAAACTGTCCACATTCATCCTGAGAAAAGAAAGACTTTTCATTAAAGCCACACATATTTTTTTTACTATTTAAGGTCAAAGGACAGTAACTGAGAAAGATTAGAAAACTGTTGTCAAACCCATAGTGTCCAATAGTGAACTTCATGAAGTCCCCTGGACTTAATAATCATCAGTTCTATGAAGTTTTTAACCAACAAGGAATTAATTGAAACATGTCTGATTCAATTATGACCTGCACCTTCAGTTCCAGCAACATTTTTTTCTGATTGTAATATAAATTCAAAAGAAATTTCTACATTTAGAAAACTTCAAAAAGCATGTCCATAAAATGGAAAACTCTTAACCAACAAATTTATAAATAAAACTATAATCTATGTTAAAATGTACCATTTTTTTCAAACAATGACAAAGATTAAGAGTACTTAGCATTTTTATATCTTAGTTTGTGCTGTCCAGTTAATGATCAAAGGGCACTGAGCAGAAGCAAGAGAATCCTTTGCTGGAACCAATGCCACAAGATAATTACTTGTCTTCAAGCTGGAAAACAGTCTAGTTCAGATGTTTATTAGAAAAGCAACCTGATGCAAAACTAGCTTGATCTACTTTTATGTTTTAATAATTTATAACATAGCAAATATTTATGTAAATCACACTGCTAAATAGTCTAACTATGGTAATCAGTTTGAACTAAGTTTAAGAATAACCTTCGTGGCTAAAGGTTTTATATAGCACCTAAAACTATGAAGTTTGATTGGTTAGTGTTTTAGGAGACTAAATTAATATATTATTAATAAAATCCTTTTCAAAATTTTTATGCTAAACATAAACTTAACAGTTCCTTTCAACAGGCAATAAAAGTTCCTATTATATGCCTTTCCACCTTGTGTTTTGCTGGGAAAAAAAAAAAAAAGATTTTACAAAAAGCACATTTTGTTATTGTTATTGTTTAAATTTTATTATTACTTTAAAAATATGCTGTATGGCAAAATTAACCTGTCCAATTTTTTTAATGTAATACTCAAATTTTCAAAGATGCCTATTAATAAGATGAACTTTGCAAACTATGAAATTTGATATGTATTTTAGTTTCAATCTCAAATTATCATTCCAATGTTCTGTTTTCCATCTACATTATCTGTTAAAAATTAAATGAAAAAAAAATAAATAAGGTATCAAACTCCAAAAATGTGTTTAATTAACTTCTAGCATTTTAATGCAATGTTATTCACGGCATGAATACTTGTGGTGGCCCCTCATTTTCTGTCATATTATGACAATCCAATAGTTGTGCTTTGGATTATAGTTCATCGAAACTAAAATGCAACAATTTGCCATATTTTTTTATTCTGTTTCCCTATTAAATCTTCACTATCTTTTCATGCTTAAAATTTTCTTGTTGGTTAGGTTAAGACAGATTTCTTGTAATTAGCACATAGTTAGATACAATATTCTTTTTAAACAAACACCATCTTACTGTGTTGCCCACACTGGCCTTGAACTTCTGGCAAGTGATCCCCCTGCATCAGCCTCCCATGTAGCTAGGCCACAGGCACAGGCCACCACAACTGGCTTCAGTGTTACATACTGTTTTTTTTCCCCCTTTTTTTTTTTTTTAACTTAATCTGAGTATCTTTGTGACTAGAAGAATTTAAAGCATTTTCATTTACTGAAATAACTGCTGGGGAGCATGGTCTACAAGGAAAAGTCTAGGACTATGAAGCCAGACAGAGCTGATTTTGAATCCCAACTAGCAGTCCTAAGTTATTACTATAAAAATTAATGATAATACATGAAAAGTATCAAGATATGATAGGCACTCAATAAAATGTTATTTGTCACTTATTATATACTTTCTTACACTTCTTTCTTAGAGCAAATTTTTCTTTAATTTTCTCCATTGTTTTAAAATCCCTTAACTCAATGATTTTAGTTCTACTAATTAATAGCTTTTTTAAAAAGACAATCTTTACTCCATAATTTCTCTAATTAAAATTTAGGATTAAGTGATATACATATTCTATGCACACAATATATTGTTTCCCACTCTGTTTTCATTTTAATTTGTTGTCATTTTAAAAAAATTTCCCCTTGCTTTCCTCTTACTTCTGTTGTCATATCTTTATAACTTAGTTGAGGAGGTATGGCATATATTTTGAAATTTTTCTTCTGATAAACAAATTTTCTAAGATCTAACTTACCTTCTCAATCTGTATGATAATGATTAATTTTTCTTGTAAAGTTTTTTTTTCCATAAATCCTATTGATTTTTTCCTGTTTATTCATACTCAGTTGAGGAAATATCTATCTATTTATTTATTTATTTTTTGGAAAGATATGTTTATACCTTATCTAAGTTTGTCAAGAATAAATGGACTTTCTTTGGACTCCCTTTTCAGGACCACTTACACCTGGGCAGAACTCTCTTCTCACATCAACTTAGTGGACAAAGAAATGGTCCATTTCCTTGTTTCTAGATCACTTTTCAATACCTAAAAGTCTATCTACTGAGTAGTACCATCTGCTTTTTCAACTGCCTGTTTCACTAACAAAAAATAGAAACATTAGAAACTGAAATCTGTTTAAAAACTGACACTGTCCCTGGGCTTCTTCCTAGACCTGCCTCTGTACACAGACCTTCATAGCCCTCTCCATAATGCTTCTGCCACCTTCTCTCTGTGTCTGCATGTTAATTCCTAAAAGTTGTGGTTGTTAAGCAGTATCAAATTTCAGGAGAGACAAAACAATCCCAGATAAGCATAGGGTCTCCTGGTAGAGTTACTGAGCATCTGAGTCAGAAACAAAAAAGGATCGGGCAACTGAAGTCTTGTTCTTCTGCTGTAAACCTGAGAATTTGTTATGAAAGTAAAGCACAAGCAAACCAACAGAGTGCCACCAAACTGTCTTGGTGAAAATCACTCCAATAATCTCATAACATATGAACTAGCAACCTCATTTTTCAAAGATTAAGTCTTTATCTTTTATAGGCATCTCTGAGAGAATATAGGAAAAGATAATCCAGTCACTATTGCCCAATTACAACTTCAAAGTAAACATCAAGAAAGCCTTCTTAACAACTAGCATTATTGGACAATGGAATATGACACTATATGAACCTTTCTTCATGGAATATATCTCTACAGAAACTGGATAACGTATCACGAATTTAAGAGCAATTCTGACATCAAATAGGAGGCTGGTAGATGAATTCTTAGGTTCCTTCCAGAGTCTTATATCAGAAACATATTTGATTAATTTAGCTATCTCAATATTACTTCAACAAATATTTCTTATGAGATAATTTATATGCTATCAAACTCCACTGATTTTAAAAAAATAGAGCCTTATTTAAAAAAAAAATGCTGAAAAACCTCAGTTAACAGTGGTATGGATATGTTTAAAATAAAGTTGTTTTTCACCAATCTTAAAATTCTTTCCTTTTAAAAAAGTTAAGAAGGTGCTTTACTTAACTTGGACAGGAAGGAACAGAACTACTTTTTAAATTGTAAATTTAAATTATTTTGACTCATCTACGATAAAATATTCAGTATGAACTGTTTGTAACCTAAAGTTCCAAAGTAACTTATTCTAAAAATATTTCCAATTCACTTTTAGTTCAGTAAGGACCAAGACAACCTGGTAAACTAGCTTGTTTACTTCCCAATCATCAGGAAAACCATATAGCACCTGATCCCATCAAATGATACCTTTAACAGATCATGTTCCCCAAGAGTTGCTGCATATCTCCATGTAAGTTTTCTTGTGCCAGTAGGATCCGCCCAGGCAAAAAGTCGAGCTTGTTTTGGCAGCAATTCTACTTCCTCCTGTGATCCACTAAAATACAATCAACAGAGGGAAAATTAGAATATCTTGGCCTTCAGAATCCCAGATCTGTAGTTTATTGAGAAGGGGATTTGCATACAAGCACTATGAAAGTGCTTCAGTTAATAAACCACAACTCTACCTAAAAATAAATACCTGAAAATGTCCAATAGACTAATACTTTTGATGTTTGGGGAAATGGAATACTATAGTATAATTTTCTTTCTAAAGGTTCATTGAACTATGAATTCATCCAAGAAGAAACATACCAATGAAATCCATTAAGGGGGTGGGAGAGAGCTTCCAATCACTCTTGCAAGGTAGGCGGGCCTGCGACTCACCAGCAGAAGAGGAGCAGCGGCCTGCTGAGAGGCAGAGCCGCCCCTCCCCCTGCACCGGCAAGGTAGAGGGAACTGTGACCATGCACAGAGCAGGCCCAGCGGCCTGCTGAGGGGCAGAGCCGCCCCCCACCCCCCGCGCCTGCCAGGTAGGGGAACTGTGACCACGGACAGAAAAGGCCCAGTGGCCCGCGGCGGGACAGAGCTTCCAATCACTCCTGCAAGGTAGGCGGGCCTGCGACCCACCGGCAGAAGAGGAGCAGCGGCCTGCTGAGAGGCAGAGCCGACCCCTCCCCCTGCACCGGCAAGGTAGAGGGAACTGTGACCATGCACAGAGCAGGCCCAGCGACCTGCTGAGGGGCAGAGCCGCCCCACACCCCCTGCGCCTGCCAGGTAGGGGAACTGTGACCACCAACAGAAAAGGCCCAGTGGCCCGCGGCGGGACAGAGCTTCCAATCACTCCTGCAAGGTAGGCGGGCCTGCGACCCACCTGCAGAAGAGGAGCAGTGGACTGCTGAGAGGCTGAGCCGCCCCCTCCCCCTGCGCCGGCAAAGTAGAGGGAACTGTGACCACCCACAGAGCAGGCCGAGCGGCCTGCTGAGGGGCAGAGCCGCCCCCCACCCCCCGCGCCTGCCAGGTAGGGGAACTGTGACCACCGACAGAAAAGGCCCAGTGGCCCGCGGCGGGACAGAGCTTCCAATCACTCCTGCAAGGTAGGCGGGCCTGCGTCTCACCGGCAGAAGAGGAGCAGTGGCCTGCTGAGAGCCAGAGCCGCCCCCTCCCCCTGCACCGGCAAGGTAGAGGGAACTGTGACCACGCACAGAGCAGGCCCAGCGGCCTGTTGAGGGGCAGAGCCGCCCCCCACCCCCAGCGCCTGCCAGGTAGGTGGAACGGTGACCACAGACAGAAAAGGCCCAGTGGCCCGCAGTGGGACAGAGCTTCCAATCACTCCTGCAAGGTAGGCGGGCCTGCGACCCACTGGCAGAAGAGGAGCAGCGGCCTGCTGAGAGGCAGAGCCGCCCCCTCCCCCTGCGCAGGCAAGGTAGAGGGAACTGTGACCACCCACAGAACAGGCCAAGCGGCCTGCTGAGGGGCAGAGCCGCCCCCCACCCCCCGCGCCTGCCAGGTAGGCGGAACTGTGAACACTGACAGAAAAGGCCCAGTGGCCCGCGGAGGGGCAGAGCTTCCAATCACTCCTGCAAGGTAGGCGGGCCTGCGACCCACTGGCAGTACAGCCCCAGAGGCCTGCAGAGGGGCAGTGCCGCTGCCTGGGCCTGCAAAGTAGACAGAACTGCGACCACCGACAGAACAAGCCTAGCGGCCCGCAGAGGGACAGAGCCGCCGCCTGCGCCTGCAAGTTCGGCGGACCTGCTACCGACCGGCAGAGCAGGCCCAGCGGCCTGCTGGCGTGGTAGGCACATTGCCCCAATTGGAGGAGGGGCAGAGCCTCCGCCCGCGCCTTCGAGGGAGACTTTGCAACTATACAAGAACAATATAAATATATAGGGGGAAAATTCAATAGCACAAGAGTTTCACCAAGTAGAAAGGAACGCGAACAGTATGAAGAGACAAGGAAAGAAAGGACCACAAGCATTGCAGGTCAACTCAACGTTAGAAGAGGTAATAGCTGCAGCAGATGGAATGTCAGATAAAGAATTCAGGATATACATGCTTCAGATGATCTGGAGTCTCAAGGAAGACATCAGACAGCAAAATCAGACAATGAAAGATCACTTCAACAATGAATTACATAAACAAATCCAAGAAGCAAAAGATCAACTATACAGGGACATAGAGGTTATAAAAAACAAACAAACAGAAATCCTAGAAATGCAGGAAGCAATAAGCCAACTTAAAAACTCAATTGAGAATACTACCAGCAGAGTAGAACACTTAGAAGACAGAACATCAGACAATGAAGATAAAGTATTTCAACTTGAAAAGAACATAGACAGCTCAGCAAGACTGTTAAGAAACCATGAGCAGAACATCCAAGAAATATGGGATAACATCAAGAGACCAAATTTAAGAGTCATTGGGATACAGGAAGGGACAGAGTTTCAAACCAAAGGAATGAGCAATCTATTCAATGAAATAATACGAGAAAACTTCCCAGACTTGAAGAATGAGACAGAACGCCAAATCCTAGAAGCCTACAGGACGCCGAATGTGCAAAATCATAAGAGACCCACACCTAGACACATTATAATGAAGATGCCCAACATACAGAATAAGGAGAGAATTTTAAAAGCTACAAGAGAAAGGAAGCAGATCACATTTAGGGGTAAGCCAATCAGGATAACAGCTGATCTTTCAACACAGACTCTGAAAGCTAGAAGATCCTGGAATAACATATTTCAAACACTGAAAGAAAATGGGTTCCAACCAAGAATTGTGTTTCCAGTGAAATTAAGCTTCAGGATGGAAGATGAAATTAAAACCTTCCACGATAAACAAAAGTTAAAAGAATTTGCAGCTAGAAAACCATCTCTTCAAAACATCCTTGGCAAAACATTACAGGAAGAGGAAATGGAAAATAACAATGAAAACCAACAGTGGGAGGTAGGACACTAAAGGGGGGAAAATAATCAAAGAGGAAAACAAACCATGTTTAGTAACATAAATAAACAAATATGGCTGGAAGAACAACCCATATCTCAATAATAACCCTAAATGTTAATGGCTTAAACTCACCAATCAAGAGACACAGGCTAGTAGAATGGATCACAAAACAAGACCCAACAATATGCTGCCTACAGGAGACGCATTTGATAGGAAAAGACATACATAGGCTGAAGGTGAAAGGTTGGGAAAAATCATATCACTCATATGGACTTCGGAAACAAGCAGGAGTATCCATACTCATATCAAATAAAATAGATTTCAAGCCAAAGTTAATCAAAAGGGATAAAGAGGGACACTACATACTGCTCAAGGGAACCATACACCAACAAGACATAACAATCATAAATATATATGCCCCAAACAATGGTGCAGCTATGTTCATCAAACAAACTCTTCTCAAGTTCAAGAGTCTAATAGACCACCATACAATAATCATGGGAGACTTTAACACACCTCTATCACCACTGGACAGATCTTCCAAACAAAAGTTGAATAAGGAAACTATAGAACTCAATAACACAATTAATAACCTAGACTTAATTGACATATATAGAATATACCACCCAACATCAAGCAGTTACACTTTTTTCTCAGCAGCACATGGATCCTTCTCAAAAATAGATCATATATTATGTCACAGGGAAACTCTTAGACAATATAAAGGAGTAGAGATAATACCATGCATCCTATCTGATCATAATGGAATGGAACTGAAAATCAACGATAAAAGAAGGAAGGAAAAAGAATACATCACTTGGAGAATGAACAATAGGTTACTGAATGATCAATGGGTTATAGAGGACATCAAGGAAGAAATTAAAAAATTCTTAGAGATTAATGAAAACACAGACACAACATATCGGAATCTATGGGACACATTGAAAGCAGTTCTAAGAGGAAAATTCATTGCTTGGAGTTCATTCCTTAAAAAAAGAAAAAACCAAAAAATAAATGATCTCATACTTCATCTCAAAATCCTTGAAAAAGAAGAGCAAAACAACAGCAAAAGAAGTAGAAGGCAAGAAATAATGAAAATCAGAGCTGAAATTAATGAAATCGAAACAAAAGAAACAATTGAAAAAATTGACAAAACTAAAAGTTGGTTCTTTGAAAAAATAAACAAAATCGACACACCCTTAGCCATGCTAGCGAAGAGAAGAAGAGAGAGAACTCAAATTACTAACATACGGGATGAAAGAGGCAATATCACAACAGACACTTCAGAAATACAGAAGATAATCAAAAATTATTTTGAATCCTTATACTCCAATAAATTGGAAGATAGTGAAGGCATAGATAAATTTCTTAAGTCATATGATCTGCCCAGATTGAGTCAGGAGGATATAGACAACCTAAACAGACCAATATCAATTGAGGAATTAGAAGAAACCATCAAAAGACTACCAACTAAGAAAAGCCCAGGACCGGATGGGTATACAGCAGAGTTTTATAAAACCTTTAAGAGGAACTAATACCAATACTTTTCAAGCTACTTCGGGAAATAGAAAAAGAGGGAGAACTTCCAAATTCATTCTACGAGGCCAACATCACCCTGATACCTAAACCAGACAAAGACACTTCAAAGAAAGAAAACTACAGACCAATATCTCTAATGAACCTAGATGCAAAAATCCTCAATAAAATTCTGGCCACTCGGATACAAAAACATATCAAAAAAATTGTGCACCATGATCAAGTAGGATTCATCCCTGGGATGCAAGGCTGGTTCAATATACGGAAATCAATAAATGTTATTCACCACATCAATAGACTTAAAAATAAGAACCATATGATCATCTCGATAGATGCGGAAAAAGCATTCGACAAAGTACAGCATCCCTTTATGTTCAAAACTCTAGAAAAACTAGGGATAACAGGAACATACCTCAATATTGTAAAAGCAATCTATGCTAAGCCTCAGGCTAGCATCATTCTGAATGGAGCAAAATTGAAGGCATTCCCTCTAAAATCTGGAACAAGACAGGGATGCCCTCTCTCACCACTTCTGTTCAACATAGTTCTCGAAACACTGGCCAGAGCAATTAGACAGACGAAAGAAATTAAAGGCATCAAAATAGGAAAAGAAGAACTTAAATTATCACTATTTGCAGAT